CCCAAAACCCCAAAACCCCAAAACCCCAAAACCCCAAAACCCCAAAACCCCTAGTGGTATAAATTGCTATTGCTATTAGAGTAAAAGATATTCAAGTTAATAATTAATTATTAATTACCACAGAATAAGTCAAAATTATGTTAAATCTTCGTCGAACTCTTGCAAAACTTTAAATCTATTAAACACATTTATAATCTTTTTTCAATTTCAACAAACCTATTGCCCACAAGAATATGCAAGAAATACTTCAAAGAGGATCCCTCATTACCAAGGATGGTGAGACAACTGCTGATGAAGCCTTTAAAGACGTCAAGGCAATCGGACTTTACTTCAGTATGCACTCTTGCCCACCTTGTAGACAGTTCACTCCCTTGTTCGCAGACATCTACAATGACGTCAATTCTGGTTCAAAGCAGATTGAAGTTGTTTTTGTAAGTGGTGACAAATCCTAGGAAGATTTCAAGGAGTACTATGAGGAGATGCCATGGATAACACTTCCATTCAAAGACGAGAGAGTTCTAGAACTAGTCAAAAAATATGAGGTCAAAGGAGTCCCAAGATTGGTTATGCTAAAGCCTGATGGCACTGTTCTAAGCTAGAACGCAGTGTAGAGAATAATTAAAGAAGGTCCTGAAGCGATTGAGGAATTTACCGCCGGAAAAGTGGAATAATAATAAAATTAAATGGGAGGAACTAATTAAAAATAAAATTAAGCAATGGAGTCTCTAAAGTCGCAAGTCCAGGAAGTCATTTCAGGAAATCCAGTCGTAGTCTTCTCTAAGACCTTCTGCCCATACTGCACTGAGGCAAAGAACATCCTTAACAAGGCAAATGTGAGCTATACTCTCAGAGAGCTCGACACTGAGGATGATGGATCTCAAACTCAAGAAGCTCTTAAATCATTAACTGGCCAGAATACAGTACCAAATATCTTCATCGCAGGAAACCACATTGGAGGCTGCAGTGACCTCAAAGCTAAAATCAAGACTGGGGAAGTCAAAACCCTTCTCAACACTAATGAAATTCCAAACGGTTTCTGAGTAATTTATGTGACTTCTCAAATAGCATCATCAATTTCTAAAACATCATTAATTCCTTCATTTTTAAAGCAAGTACGTATAGTTTGATATGATTACGCATGGGGTTTTGGGGTTTTGGGGTTTTGGGGA